GAAAAGGGTCTCAGCCTCAGCCTGCCTCGGCTTCAGCCTCAGCCTCAGCCTCAGCCTGCCTCAGCCTCAGCCTCAGCCTGCCTCAGCTCAGCCTCACCTCAGCCTCAGCCTGCCTCGGCCTCAGCCTCAGCCTCAGCCTCAGCCTCAGCCTGCCTCAGCCTCAGCCTGCCTCAACCTCAGCCTGCATCAGCCTCAGCCTCAGCCTCAGCCTGCATCAGCCTCAGCCTCAGCCTGCCTCAGCCGCAGCTTGCCTCAGCCTCAGCCACTGCCTCGGCCTCAGCCTCAGCCTGCCTCAGCTTCGGCCTCAGCCTCAGCCTGCCTCGGCTTGCCTCAGCCTCAGCCTCAGCCTGTCTCAGCCTCAGCCTGCCTCAGCATCAGCCTGCCTCAGCCTCAGTCTGCCTCGGCGTGCCTCGGCCTCAGCCTGCATCAGCCTCAGCCTCAGCCTCAGCCTCAGCCTGCCTCAGCCTCAGCCTCAGCCTGCCTCAGCCTCAGCCTGCCTCGGCCTCAGCCTCAGCCTGCCTCAGCCGCAGCTTGCCTCAGCCTCAGCCTCAGCCACTGCCTCGGCCTCAGCCTCAACCTGCCTCAGCTTCAGCCTCAGCTTCAGCCTCAGCCTCAGCCTGCCTCGGCTTGCCTCAGCCTCAGCCTCAGCCTGCCTCGGCCTCAGCCTCAGCCTCAGCCTGCCTCAGCCTCAGCGTCAGCCTTTCAGCCTCAGCTTGCATCAGCCTCAGCCTCAGCCTGCCTCGGCCTCAGCCTAAGCCTGCCTCAGCCTCGGCCTGCCTCAGCCTCAGCCTCAGCCTGCCTCAGCCTCAGCCTGCCTCAGCCTCAGCCTGCCTCAGCCTCAGTCTGCCTCGGCGTGCCTCAGCCTCAGCCTCAGCCTGCCTCGGCTTCAGCCTCAGCCTCAGCCTGCCTCAGCCTCAGACTCAGCCTGCCTCAGCCTCAGCCTGCATCAGCCTCAGCCTCAGCCTGCCTCAGCCGCAGCTTGCCTCAGCCTCAGCCACAGCCTCAGCCTCAGCCTCGCCTTGGCTTCAGCCTGCCTCAGCTCGGGCATTCAAAATATGGCACAGGACTGGTGTTCTGGGAACACGAAGAACACGAAGTGGCTCACAGTTGGCTCCGGGCAATCCAAATGTGGCCTGGGAATGGTGTTCTGGGAAGACGAAGAACACGAAGTGGCCTCCAGTTGGCTGCGGGCATTCCAAACGTGGCCTGGGAATGGTGTTCTGGGAAGACGAAGAACACGAAGTGGCCTACAGATGGCTCCGGGCATTCCAAATGTGGCCTGGGAATGGTGTTCTGGGAAGACGAAGAACACGAAGTGGCCTACAGATGGCTCCGGGCATTCCAAATGTGGCCTGGGAGTGGTGTTCTGGGAAGACGAAGAACACGAAGTAGCCTACAGATGGCTCCGGGCATTCCAAATGTGGCCTGGGAATGGTGTTCTGGGAAGACGAAGAACACGAAGTGGCCTACAGTTGGCTCCGGGCATTCGAAATGTGGCCTGGGAATGATGTTCTGGGAACGCGAAGAACACGAAGTTGCCTACAGATGGCTCCGGGCATTCCAAATGTGGCCTGGGAATGGTGTTCTGGGAATGGATTCCTAAGGATCCGTAGGAATTCCTAAGGATTCCTGAGGATTCCTAGGGCTGGCGGATCCGTCCGGTTTCCGCCCAGAGTTCCTTGGGCGTCAAGACGCTGTCTTTTGACACCACTCGAAACCTATCAGCAAAAGCTGTGAGGTAAAAACACAGACACCATTAATCGTCGATCCCCCAGGAAAACATTGAAAAATATGGGAAGTGTGCGGGAAGACAGAAGCCCAGAAAATATAGGAAAGATGGGGAATCTTTTTATTTGTGTATTTATTTGTGTGTCCTGGGGCCCTTTCAACTGTGCCGGACCAATTTTTCGTGTCGAAGAGCATGTGTTGGACTTAGTTGCTTCTTGCTGGAACCCACTGTTCCCGAGCATCTTGTCCAGATCGGATATTTCTTCTGTCAGACAGTCGCCCTCTCTCCCCAGGATCGACCGATCCCCAAGATCCGGGCGCCGCGGTTTTTTTCAAACCAGGTGTTGTCGCCCAGCTCCAGGCCCTGCCCTGACTCCGAATCCGGCGAACCTTGGCTGATTTTCCCATTTGAATGGGAAATGCACCCCACAACGATGCCAAACAGTACGGCGGATATTGCCGCAGAGGCACGGCGGGAACAGCGAAGCCCCTCCCACCCAGAAGCACCGGGGGGAGGGGCGAACAAGAACCGAGAGGTGAAGAGAGAAACGAGGGAGCAACTGAACGGCGGACACGATTACGAGGAAGAGGAGGAGCAGGAGGAGGAGGAGGAGGAGGAGGAGGAGGAGGAGAGGAGGGGAGGGAGGAGGAGGAGGTGGGTGGAGGAGTAGGGAGGAGGAGGAGGAGGAGGAGGACGGAGGGAGAGGAGGAGGAGAGGAGGAGGAGGAGGAGGAGAGTAGGGGGGGGGGACCCGAGCGTGGGCCCCAGCCCCCCCCAGGGGGGAGGCTGCGGCCCACATCGGCTCGCGCCTCGCACGGAGGGAGGCCCAAACGCACGCCTGTGCTGCGTGGAGGTCTGGAGGGCCTCCTCCTCCTCCTCCTCCTTCCATTTCTCCTCCTCCTCCCCTTCTCCTCCTCCCCCCTCCGCCTCCTCCTCTCCTCTCCTCCTCATGCTCCTCCTCCTCCCTCCTCCTCCCTCCTCCTCCCCCTCCCTCCCTCATTTCCTCCTTCTCCTCCTCCTCCTCCTCCTCCTCTCCTCCCTCCTCCTCCTCCTCCTCCTCCTCCTCCTCCTCCTCCTCCTCCTCCTCCTCATCATCATCCTCTTACAGGGGGCCACATGCGGACCCTACAGGCGGCCCGGATTAGTAGGTCGACCCTGCAAGCTCAAGGGTGCCCTTGTGTCCTGTGCCTCGCGACGCGTGCCTTCTTGCTGTCCTATGGCGATGTGGCCTTCGGAACTGTCTTGTGTCCTCTCGCGTGTCCTCTCCAGTCAAGTCCGACTGTACATATGGGGGTGGGGTTCACTTCGCTCGGGAGTTCCCGAACGAAGTGACCCCCCCCTCAGAAATCGGGGGGGGGGGGTGGGGTAGGGGTGGAGTTTGCATGTGGTCCCCTGCTTCTCCTCCTTCCCTCTCGCCCCCATGCTTTTATGCAGCCGTTCATTGTGGTCTCATCGCCGTCGAGAGGTTCCTGCATCGGTGGTTGGCACGCGCAGGAGGAGGAGCAGGAGGAGGGGGCACGTCAGCAAGGTCGAGCGATAACATGATAACCAACTGTGGCACAAGGTGGTATTGGGACTGGAACGAGTTCCAACCTAGCGAACGGAAGAAGACGCTCGCGCGCGGCACGCAGAACATCAGAACATCCCTGCGCGGGGCTGCGGCGAGAGCACCAGTTGGCTTCTCTCGGGCGGCCACATTTCCGATGAGCGCGGCAAAGACAGAGGGCTCGTTTCGATTCCTCCGGTTCGATTCGATTCGATTTCGATGGCTTCCGATTCCGATTCGATTCGACTTCGGATTCCGATTTGAATTCCGATTCTTTACTGAAGGCATACCAGGTTGGCGATTTCCGCCGATTCGATTTCTCCCGACTCGGCTGCCGATTGCCGCCGATCCGACTCATTTCGATTGCCAATCCGACGTATCGATTCGATTCTGGTCTCTTCTGCAAAGACGAAGCACACACTTCACCGAAACAGCGCTGCCACTTGGGCGAGGACAGCATGTCGCCCGCTCTCGCGCGGCCCCGCTGCCGCTGCCGCTGCCGCTTTCACGGGATTCGGCGAGCGACGCATGCGCTGCGCACCCCCCGGGTCCCCGCTTCCAGGCCAAATCTGCACGGAGCTAGGCTAGCGCCACAGGTCGCCCGTTCGCCCGCGTTCCCGCCGCTTCCAACGACTCTGCGAATGCCGCAACAGGCGCGGCGCCGAAGCGGGAGCGCCGCGTTCAGGCTAAAGCTGCGTGTCGCCGGGGGCGCGGTGTGCCGACGCGTTTCATCCACGGGGCGCGTTCGAGTATACAATGCGTAGCTTAAGCTTGGATTTCGAGGATGATTATGGCAATAACGGCGGTGTGATTAGCGTCGTGGTGGGCCAGTGCACAGCGGAGACCATGCCCCCCCATCCCTACACTAACCTTGACAACAGTCCATACAAAAAGACGATGGTGTGCCCGCACACTTGCAGACATTCGATGCATCGTGCACGTCGCATTGTTTTTGTTGGCTTTGACAGGGATGGTGGGGGGGAACGTGCTTCGGGCCGCGCTACTAGAGCGTGGAGGGGGTGTCTACGAATGAGGAGCAGCGGCAAATCCTTTCTTCACGCGCCCAATCCTCAGCTGGCCGCCCCGAAGCTCTCTGGGGCCACGGAGGCATGCTCTCGCTCACCTGCGTCCATATGCAAGGCCCTGAGCCTGGCATCGCTCGGACGTGTGCATTGTTCCTTCGGCGAGGACCATCGAGGAGCATCCTTGATCATTTGCCGGAAAAACCACGCACGGAAAGCAAAAAACACAGGGAATGGACGTCTGAGCGATGGCCAGCTGAGAGCCTCTGGCTCGAGCTGTATGACCCCGAGCCCTCTGTGCCGGCGGCGGGCGGAGGGGCACGGCGGCTCGACCTCGCCGCCTGCCGATGGCCCGCCGCTGCCCCCTGGCCCACGCGGCGGGGGATGCCGCGGTGGCGGCGGGCCTTTGGCGGCGCCGCCGCTCGATGCGGCCTGGTGGCTCTGGGGCTGCTGGAGGACCTGGGGCGCTGCGGGGGCAGCGAGGCCCAGGCCCCCGGCGACCTGCTCTCCTGCGACTGGGACGCGGGCTGGGCCAGCTTCCGGCGCCGCCTGGAGGAGAACGCGCGGCTCGGCTTCCCCCTTGACGAGGAGCTGGCGCTGGGCGCGCAGGAGCTGCTGCACGAACATCAGGACGCGCTCAACCCCGACCCCGAGGCCGCCTACGGGGCCTCCCCTGGCATGCAGAGCTTCTTCTCGGCGGCTGAATGATGGGGCCCTGAGGCACGGGCTCCTGAGGACGAGAAGATCAGAACAGTGAGGGTTCAAGCTGTGCTCCACTTCCTGTCTCTATTCGTAGAGAAACGAAGAATGACATAAACATATAAATTCGTAGGTCCGCGCGGATTTCTCGGATCGGCGCTGCACCGCCTTCCCTGGCGCGCGGAGCGTGCCAGGGGGGTCCAGCGCGGATCCGAGAAATCCGCGCGGACCTCCGAGTCTGTATGTTTATGTCATTCTTCGTTCCCCTAATGAGGGCCCCACCGCTCAGGGCCTCATCTTTGAAACCGCCGGTCTTCAGCAGCTGCAACGCGCCGCCCCCCGCCAGGGGCCTGCGGCCGCCCCCCTTCTGCCTGTACGGCGCCGTCTCGGCGCTGTGGGTCGTGGCGCGCTCGGGGCACCCGGACCGGGAGCACCTGCTGGGCGTCGCGCAGTTCTTGCTCGGCTCAACGATTCGGGGGACGCCAGCTGGCCACCTCGCCGATCCTGGCCAGGGAAGAGGAGGAGGGGGAGGGGGAGGAGGAGGAGGAGGAGGAGGAGGAGGAGGAGGAGGAGGAGGAGGAGGAGGAGGAGAGGAGAATGAGAGGGAGGAGGAGGGGGGGAGAGGAGGAGGGAGGAGGAGGAGAGAGGAGAGGAGGAGGAGGAGGAGGAGGAGGACGAGGAAGATGAGGGGGAAAAGGGGGAGGGGGAGGAGGAGGAGGAGGAGGAGGAGGAGGAGGAGGAGGAGGAGAAGGCGCATCCCGATAACCCCTCGCGTCGCGAACCAAAAACATCACGACGGCCGGTCGTTCGCCGTTCGTTCGGCTTCTGGGGGGCCCTCGCCGCGCCCCACGGCCGTCAGCAGACCCACTCGGCATTGTCAGGAGGGGGAAAACACAAACACGCAGACAGACAGACAGACAGACAGACAGACAGACAGACAGACAGACAGACAGACAGACAGACTGACTGACTGACTGACTGACTGACTGACAGAGAGAGAGACAGACAGACAGACAGACAGACAGACAGACAGACAGACAGACTGACTGACAGACAGACAGACAGACAGACAGACAGACAGACAGACAGACACAGACACACACACAAGTTATCGTCGACTCCCAGGAGAATGCGGGGAAAATATGGGAGGAGAGGCGAAGACGAAAACCCAGAAAATATTTGAAAATCTTGGGAATGCTGGGATTTGTTTCTATTGTTTTGTGTGTCCCTGGGCCCCTTTAGAATGGATCGAGTCCCTTCCCTCGCTGGCCGGGGGGCAGGGACCACTTCCCCGATCCTGGCCAGGCCTTTCCTGGGCCCAGGATTCGAAGAGGAATTGTTGACGCTTCGCGAATCCCCACCAGCCCGTACTTGGGTCTTGCTTTTCCGCCCAAGTCGCGGTTTCTCCCGCCCTCGACGGGGCCCACGACCGTCTGTGCCTCAGCCTTGACTTTCCGTGCACGCCGCGGTTGCAACCCTGGTTTCAGTCCGGGTCCCCCCCGTGATTTCAGTGCTCGCCTGTCGCCACTTCCGGTGTGCTGACTACGGGCTCGTGATCCGTCCTCTTCAGGGCTTTTGGTGTGCGAATTTGCTGGCGCCACTCCATGCACTTGTTCGTGGTGACCCGCGCCATTTTGGCCGCGCGGCAGCTTGGCTGCTTCTCGTACTCGTGCGTTCTGCTGCCGTCGGGCTTTGCGGCTTCGGCCACCCTGGTTCCTCGCAGCCTGCCAACGCTCACGCCCACACCGGGCACCAATTCGACTTCCGACTGTCGGTCCTCTTGGCTGCGGCCACCCTGGTACTCTCGCAGTTGTCCGGGGTCTTGCGCCCTTGCATTAATTACTCGGCTTATGTCCCTGGTCGCCGTTCTTCCGGGCTACCTGACGCTTCCGACGCCTTGCATACGTGCACGCTGGCAGTACGGCTCAGTTTCAGCCAGCCCCCTCCACTCGCCGGTCCGCCGCTGAGGTGCTGCGTGAGGCTCCGCCTAGCCGCTTTAGGTGAGGCTGCGCCCCGCTGCTTTTGGTGAATTTGTCGCTGCGTGCCCCGCCTTGACTGGACTCGCCGCTGGCGCGCTTGCCTGCGGCCGCTGACTAAAAATAATCCCCACCAGCCCATCCAGAAAGGATGCCCAGAGGAATTGCCTCGATCAGGGAAGTGGGCAGCACACACAGGAAGCCATTATGAGACATCTTGGGATATCTTGAACCATCTTGGAGGTCCTTTTGGGCTCCCCCAGGCGCTCTTGGAGTTATCTTAATCAGTGCCCCCCCCAAAGAGGCCAACATGTGGCTGAAACTTTGATTCGGCATTCTCGCCGGGGCCTCTTGGGGCATCTTGGGTGCTTCTGGGGGGTCTCTGGGGGGTCTTTGGGGGCCTCTTAGGGGTCTCTTGGGAGTTTCTTGGGGGCATCCTGGGGGCCTCTTGGGGTTTCCTGGACACCTCTTGGGGCCCTCTTGGGGCACCCTTGGGAGCCTTGGGGAGCATCTTTGGGCCATCTTGGGTGAGATCGATCACAGGAGGGGGGGGTACTAATTACAGTCCCCTCCCCAGGAGGCCAAAATGGGGCCAACACTTTTTTTGGGTGTGCGTATAGAAAAAAACAGATGACTGTGGTTTCCTCGCCGAGGCCGTTTTGGAGAAGAACGCGCGCACAGACACACACGCAGAGACACACACACACCCACACACACAGAGACACACACACAGACACACACACACACACACACACGCACACTCACATTCACATTCACACACACGCACATTCACATTCACACTCACACTCACACCCACATTCACACAGACGCAGACACAGACACATCACAGACACGGACACGGACACAGACACGGACACGGACACGGACACGGACACGGACACGGACACGGACACAGACACGGACACGGAAACACGGACACGGACACGGGCACGACACACGGACACAGACACAGACACAGACACAGACACAGACACAGACAGACACAGACACAGACACAGACACAGACACAGACACAGACACAGACACAGACACAGACACAGACACAGACACAGACACAGACACAGACAGAGAGACAGACAGACAGACAGACAGACAGACAGACAGACACACACACACACACAAGTAATCGTCGACTCCCAGGAGAATGCGGGGAACATATGGGAAGAGAGGCGAAGACGAAAACCCAGAAAATATACGAAAATCTTGGGAATCCTTCCCTGTGCCCCTTTAGAATGGGTCGAGTCCCTTCCCTCGCTGGCCGGGGGGCAGGGACCACTTCCCCAATCCTGGCCAGGCCTATCCTGGGCCCAGGATTCGAAGAGGAATTTCAGCTCCTCACGTAGTGAGAAAATCGTGCGGGGGCGTTTTTTCGCTACTTTCGGCCTCCAGGGGCCCTCGCCGGGCCTCGGGATTGTCAAAAAACGATTCAGGATGAAAAATTGGTCCCGGGGAAGGGGTCTAGGCTCCTGGGGATCGACGGAGAACGAAATATCAACGTTCAGAAGTCCGCGCGATGCTCCTCGCGGCAGGGGTGGGTCCAGCGCCGATCCAGGACATCCCCGCGGACCTCCGAATGTTTGTGCTTACGCTTCGCGTTGCACCTCGAGGCCAGACCTACCCTGGGCCCAGGATCGGTGCACACGCCCTCCTTGCTTGGCCAAGGATCGACTACATGTAAGAGTGACCCTTCGCCGGAGTGACCTTTGGTGCGCGCTCACTGGGGTCCCCCGGTCGCCGTGCTCGGTGCGGATAGCGTCTTGCGCGCTTGTGTTTGGCCTCCTCGCGCTCACCAAAAAGCCGCGCACCAAAGGTCAGTCTTGCCCAGGGTCACTCTTACGTGCAGCCGAAAGGAGGCGACGGCACCGATCCTGGGCCCAGGATGGGCCGGGCCAGGATCGGCGCGGCGCTCGGCCGGCGCCCCCCGAGCGATGCGCAGCACCCTCGACTTCATGGAGGGCTCGGGCTGGCCGCTCTCCTCGGTGGACGTGCTGGCCAACCTGCAGCGCCCCGCCGAGCGCTTCCGGCTGCCGGCCGAGCTGCGGGCGCTGCGGCCGCCGCCGGCCGCCGCGCCCGCGCGGGCGCGGCGGCACGTCCTCGGGGGCGGCGCCCCCTCGGCGATCCGCGTCCCCGTGCGCGTCGTCGTCTGGGAGATCGGCGTGCACGCCAGCCTGTCTCGGGGAAGAAAGCATGCCGCAGCACCGCCGCAGTGGCGGTCCTAGAAGGAGTGCCCGGCCGAACGAAAGGGGGGATGGGGAAAGAGGGGGGGGGGTACGAAGTCTGCTGCATGCAGCTGGTTTCGGCCCCGCCGCTGGGCCCATTCCTCGATACATGGGCGCCTCCTGGCGCCAGGAGGCGCCGGGAAAATCAGCTGCGTGAGCTGATTTTCAAACCCCCCCTTTTGCTATCCCCCCCTTTCGCCCGGCCCGAGAGTGATTGGGCGGGCGCAGGGCTGGTCGCCAGGGATGGTTCACGGGCGGGGTGGGTCGCGGGGTGGGTCGCGGGGTTGGTCGCGGGTGGGTCGCGGGCTGGTCGCGGACGGCGACGACAACAGCGTCCGCGTCGTGTCGACTGACGGCGACCCCGCCGCCGGCGTTCAATGTTGAACGCCGCGGGCGACCCAGAATCGGTCGATGTTGAACGACCTGAAGTTTCGGAAACGGCCGGTCGTTAGAGATTGAGCCGACCCCCGCGGTGTCAGGAACCAACGCCGGGGTCGACATGACACGAACCCGCGACAACGGAGGTCTGCGCGGATTTCTCGGATCTTTGCTGGAGCCCCATGGCGGCGCCTCCAGCGCCGCACCTTGCGCGCTCCGCGCGCCAGGGAGGGGGGCCCAGCGCCGATCCAAGAAATCAGCGTGGACCTTTGAAAGTGTATGTTGATGCCATGTATGTTTTGATCCTCGACTGTCGGCCGAACCGCTGCAGATGCTGGCCCGCTTCCTGCCGCAGGTCGAGATCTCGCACCGCAACTTGGTCCAGGACCAGTACCCCAGGTGGCTCCCGGACAAGTGCGACACGCTGTACAGGTACGAGGGGCTGACGTGCGACACCGTCCAGGATGACATCACCGAGCTGTTCCGCCGGAGGATTCCCCACAGCGCGGTCTCCAAGGAGCCGATCGAGTTTATGAACAGCTTCGCCGAGGAGTTTGCTGCCGTTGCAGGCGACAGGCTGATCGGCGTGGATGTCTTCTTGTGCACGGTGCCCTATCTGTGCTTGCTGGTTGCAGACCTCCACACGCCAGTGCTGGGCTATTTTGGGCACCCGCTGTTGTTCCTGGTGCCAGCCTCCGCACGAGAGAGCTTCTGGTCGCGCTTCGTGGCCATGGCGGCGAGCGACTCCTTCGGCCTCGCTGTGAGCGACCCCTTCTTGCAGATGCAGTACGAGTACCAGGTCGGGGCCCCAAGGCTGCCCGCCATCCGAACGCACGCGCTATACACAGAGGCCGTGCACTTCCCAGTCAGGGACGGCGAGGTGCTCGTGATGGACCGGCCGCACGAGTCGGTGCTGATGTGCATGATCCAGCACTTGCTGCCCGCTGCCACGGATGCCAACCCGGAGGAGCTCGACTGGCCCCTCGGGGACGGCAGGCTGCGCGCGGCTGGGAGCCAGTCGTACCCGTACCGCTTCGTCACGCGGTCGTTGACCGACAAGCGGTTCAGCACGTTCGCCGGTTTCCGGGCAGTGGTGTTGTGGGCCTACGACATGGACCTCATCACGTTCTACGAGTTCTACAGCATGAACATGCCGCTCTTCATGCCGTCGCATCTGCCGAAGTATGTCTTCCAGCAGGGCCACATGCAGTACGACGGCCGCTGGGCGGGGCGCCGGGCCGAGGCCGGGGTGCCGCCCATGTGGCCCCCAGATGCCGAAACCTCACCCTTCAACGAGACCTCCATCGACGCCGTGCGGCTCATTGCGGGCTTTACGGACTATTTTCGTTTCCCAGACGTCCAGCGCTTCGAGTCCATCCCAGACCTCCTGAGCCGCCTCCCGGGCACGGACTTCAACGGCGTCGTGCAGTCCATGGCGCGCTTCAACCGCGACTCTCTGGTCGAGAGCGCGGGTGCCTGGCGCCGCCTGCTGCGGAAGGCCTCGGGCTGGGACGCGGAGCTGCTGCCTGCGTGATTCGGCCGGGCGGCGCACCCTGCGGCCGGACGGCCCATACATAAAACAACCACTATGTCTCACTATGTTCTCCTATCGGGCCCCCTCCCTCTTGATTGTTGACGCTTCGCGCATCCCAACCAGCCCATGCATTGAAAAAATGCTCCTGCGCGAAGGTGAAATTCCTCGAAATTGACGTTTTGCTGAACAAAATTAACACGGATGTTTTGCGTTTATGTTTCCAGCGTTTGGTATTGGTTTTGGTTGATACTTGGCTGAACTAGATTTCAAAGCTTCTTCTCCTCCTCCTCCTCCTCCTCCTGATCCTCCTCCTCCTCCTCATCCTCCTCTTTTTCTCCTTCACACCCCTCGCCTCCCCTCCCCTTACCTCCTCCACCACTATCCGCCTGCCCGCGGCAAACACCGCCACCGTGCCTGTACCACTTCGCAGCAGGAAAGAAGACGGAGTGTAGGAACATTAGTAATGTCGATGGGTGGTATGAGTTGAGACGGGTCGTGACATCGACCTCGTCTTCGTCCACGCGGTCGGAAGGATGTCGTGTTCACGGCCTGCGGCAGTTCAGCAAGTGGTCTGATTTGGGGAACGATATGGAGGTCGAAGGAAGAGGAGGAGGAGGAGGAAGAGGAGGAGGAGGAGGAAGAGGAGGAGGAGGCGGAGAATAGAAGAATAGAAATCTCTGGGGTGTCTGGGCTCCTCATCCAACTACAAAACATTCAACACGTAGACACCTGAGTGGCAGACTGACTGCAGCTATTCACCTGGCTCTGCAGGCGGGGAACGCTCGGGCCACAGCACACCCAAGCTGGGAAGGCCAGCTGGAGGGGAGCTAGGGCACCATTCATTCATTCGCAATACCTCTCACACAAAAGACGAGAAACTCAAAACAAAAAAAACGACACTACCGAGGCTTCGCTCGTTTCGATCGTTTAGCGGTTGCTTTTCGCGGGACGGGCACACATCGCTTCGATTCATCCCCTGGGACCCCCGCCAAAAAATTATCTGGAGTCGGTGTGACCTGGGACGGCTGAGAAGAGGAGGACGAGGAAGGATGAGGGAGACTGACAGCAGCGGCATTCACTACCTCACTCAAAGCCCTCGCCACTCTGCAATCCCCTTTCTCGACGAGGCTCCGAAACCTCTCACTCCCAGCAGAGGGCGCGAGCCGCCTGCGTACAGCATCCGCTACTTGTCGAACTGCTCCAGCAGCTTGCTGGCCTCCCTCTCGAGCGCACCTCTCGGCGCCGCTCCCACTTTGCGCTCTCCTCCCACATGATTGAAGTATGCCACCATAGTTTTCTCCAGATCTGGAAACTGATCGTCGACACAAACTGTGATCCTCATCTTGTCGCCTTTGCCCTCGACTTTGCGGGTCGGCCTCACACGACAGTGTCGAATCAGCTCCGACAGGCTCTGAAGCGGCAGCACCCTCACTTTCTGTCCACCACTTCTCGAACACTATCTTCGATGACTCTGGACAAGCTGGATCTCCACCCATCGCTTTGAGTACTGCCACAAATACGTGTAAAACAGGCGGTCCGAGGTAGCTTGCGTCTTCCTTGGCCTCCTCCCTCCTCTGGACCTCCGCGTGGTAAGCCGCGCCCGCGGCCTTTCCCTCCTTCACGGCGACCTGGTCCGCTGCCACTAAGTACGTGATGAAGACCGCTCCGCATAAGTCTCTGATGTCGCTTGAGTTTGCGAGCGCCAGCTTTGTCAATACTTTGACCAGGAGGAGGCGGAGGAGGAGGATGAAGAGGAAGAAACAACAGTGTTCCCAGCCCTCCTCTCCTCCCTTCTCCCCTCCTCTCCTCTTCCCTCCCCTGCCTCTTACCTCGCTCGCTCCTGCGTGCCAGCTTGCCTCCTACCTGGTCACCCCTGGGGGGCTGCGATTTGCGAAATTGTCGCCACTTTCGAGGGCTGCTGGGGGGTCCAGCGGGGTGGGGCCTTACGCAGATTCAGATTCGACCTCACCATCCCTGGGGGGCTGCGATCTGCGAAACTTTCGACACTTTCGATGGCTGCTGGGGGGTCCAACGGAATGGGGCCTTATGCAGCTTCAGATTAGACCTCACCGTCCCTGGGGGGTTGCGATCTGCGAAAGTGGCGCCACGTTCGAGGGTTGCTGGGAGGTCCAGCGGAGTGGGGCCTTACGCAGATACATCGACCTCGCCATCCCTGGGGGGCTGCGATCTGCGAACCTGTCTCCACGTTCGAGGGCTGCTGGGGGGTCCAGAAGAGTGGGGCCTTACGCAGATTCGTATTCGACCTCGCCATCTCTGGGGGGCTGCGATCTGCGAAACTGTCGCCAATTTCGAGGGCTGCTGGGTGGTCCAGCGGGGTGGGGCCTTACGCAGATTCATGCTATTAGACCTCACCATCCCTTGGGGGGGGGGGCTGCGATCTGCGAAAGAGTCGCCAATTTCGAGGGCTGCTGGGTGGTCCAGCGGGGTGGGGCCTTACGCAGATTCATGCTATTAGGCCTCACCATCCCTTGGGGGGCTGCGATCTGCGAAAGTGTCGCCACGTTCGAGGGCTGCTGGGGGGGGGGGGGGGCGCGGAGTGACGCCCTACGCAGACATTCACATTCGACTCGCCATCTTCTGGTGGGGGGGGGGCTGCGATATGTGAAACTGTCGCCACTTTCGAGGGCTGCTGGTGGGTCCAGCGGAGTGAGGCACCACGCAGATTCAGATTAGACCTCGCCATCCCTGGGGGGATGCGATCTGCGAAACTGTCACCACTTTCGAGGGCTGCTGGTGGGTCCAGCGGAGTGAGGCACCACGCAGATTCAGATTAGACCTCGCCATCCCTGGGGGGCTGCGATCTGCGAAACTGTCACCACTTTCGAGGGCTGCGGGGTGGAGGGGCGGGGGGAGGGGGGGGGGGCCAGCGGAGTGGGTCATACGCAGATTCAGTTTCGACCTCGCCATCCTTGGGGGGCTGCGATCTGCGAAACTGCCGCCACTGTCGAGGGCTACCTCTTATGCATATTCAGATTTGACATCGCCATCCCTGGGGGGCTTCGGCCTGCGACACTGGCACCACTTTCGAGGGCTGCTGGGGGGGCGCCCAGCGGAGTGGGGTCATGCGCATATTCAGATTAGACCTCGCCATCCCTGGGGGGCTTCGACCTGCGATTTTGTCACCACGTTCGAGGGTTGCAGGGGGGCCTGTCGGAGTGGGGCCATACGCAGATTCAGATTAGACCTCGCCAGCCCTGGGGGGCTTCGGCCTGCGACACCGTCACCACTTTCGGGGGCTGCTGGGGTCCTAGCGGAGTGACGTCATACGCAGATTTAGATTAGACCTCGCCATCCTTGTGCGGGGCTGCGATCTGCGACACTGTCGCCACTATCGAGGGCTGCTGGGGGGGGGGGGGGGGGGGGGGCAGCGGAGTGACGTCATATGCAGATTCAGATTACCCCCCATGTCATCCTTCTCTTGGCCTTCGTTCTTGCCCCCGTTAGTCTTCGAGCCTCGGGCCCCAATCGTCGTTCTTTCGATCGTCGTCATGTGAGTCGTCGTGCAACGCATGCGCATCCCATGTAGTTTGCGCAGCAAATCACCGCGTCTACAATGTCGCTGTTCATGCTGATGTTGGCCTACTCCTCGTTTGCCACTTGATGCGCATGTGCTGGGTACGTCGCAGGGCAATGCTTGGCATTATCAAGCGTTCTCGTGGGGCTCACTTGGGGCGTTGTGGGGCCCATTTGTACAGTTTTGAGGCTAGTTTCGGCCCTCTTGGGGCGTTCTCGGGCGCTCTCAGGACGTCTTGCGGCACTCCTGGGCACTTTGGGGGCGCTCTTGGGTTGGAGCCCTCTTGGACTTTTCTTGGGCCGTCTGGGGGGGCTCCTTCGGTCGTCTTGGGCGCCTCTTGGGCAGTCTTGGGGCCCTCTTGGGCTGTCGGTGGACCCTCCTGGAGGTCCCTTGGCCGCCGTGGGCCGTCGGAAGCCCGATACGGCGAGAACCCCCAAAGCCTTGAAACACCTAAGGCAGATTCAGGTGTTTGGCCTCCTCAGGCTCTTTGGGGGGCTTCTTGGAACTATCTTGGGCGGTCTTGGGGATCTCTTGGGCCGTTGGGGCGGCCCTCTTGGAGCGCTCGTGGACGCTCTTGGGGCGTCTTGGAGCGATCTTGAGCCGTCGTGGAGCCATCTTGCACCTCTCTTGGGCTGCCTTGTACGCCTCTTGGGCCGTCTTGGGCACCTCCTGGGCTGTCTTGGGCTCCTCTTGGGACGTCTTGGGGTCCTCTTGGGCCGTCTTGGGCCCATCTTGGGGGCCTCTTGGGCCGTCTTGGGACGAGCTGGGAGGCCTTCTTGGCCGTTTTGTGCCGTCGGAAGGCCGATATGACGAGAACCCCAAACTCATTGAACACATAATGGAAGCTGTTTGGTTCGAGGCCGTCTTGGGGGTCTCCTGAGCCGTCTTGGGCCATCTTGGGTCATCTTGGTGTCAGCGTGGCTGTCTTGGAAGCCGTCTCGGGGGCCATCTTGGCCGTCTGGAGGCCGAAAAGACCGAGCGGTCCAAGGAGGATGCGCGCGGGTAGGTGGGTGGGTGGGGTGGTGTGGGTGGGCTGGGGGGGGGGGGGGGGGGGGGGGGGGGGTCGGCCCGAGAAAGCTTGCAAACGAAAACCCAGAGGGACCAGAGGAGCATTCTAACACCCCAACGCGCCGAAGGCACGGTGGCGGAATTCCTTTGCTGTGTGTCACCCTGTGGGGACGGCTGGATATCAGGGAGGGGTGGGGGGGGGAGACGAGGTGAATGAGGGAGGGGGGGGGGGGGTGGGGGGTGGGGGGGGGTGGGGGGGAGGGGGGGGGGGGGGGGGAGGGGTTGTACAGGGGCTTGAGAGGGGGGGTAAGGACAGGGGAGGGAAAAGAGGAGGAGAAGTCAGAGGCGGTAGGAAGCAGGGAGGAAAAGAGAAGGAAACAGCCAAGGGAGGGGGGGGGGGGGCGGGGGAGGGAAGGAGGGGTAGGGCAGTTCAGTGCGAAGCGCCATAGCCATTTTGGGTTACAAATCTTTCATCCGTGAATCAGGAGTTGCTTGCGTTGTCTCCTTGCGATGTCGGCCTCGAGAGATAACCCGTTGATCGCGAGATTGTTGGCTACAGGCCTAAACGCGTACGAGGGAGGTGGCGTTGAATGTGGCGACACAACCAAACACGAAAAAAGAAAAGAAACAAGTGTCAAGTTCGTCCAGCAGCGACGTGAAGTACGACTACGAACAATCGCTTGAACTCCGAGGTCGACACAACCAGTTCGAGAGGTTAACAATAAATCGAGTGAAATCGATGTTAGCGAACTTAGTTGGCACTGGTTTTGAAGTGACCGACATAGAGGAGCTAGGAGCGAAAAATCAGACACTGATGCGCTCAGCGCGTGGGAAGGTACACAATCGGTACACTTCCGACGAGGCGCTTGGATCCAAGGTCCATCAGACGCAGGCAGGCATGACGCAGACGTACAAGGAACGATGCACGCAACCCCTTGAGGCATTCACAGGGGTCGACTTTTGTTTTTTTATTATTAAAAAATGCTTTCTGGACCGACAAGACGTCCACGTTGGCCTTCCACCAGGCCAAGTTCCAGAAGTTGTGGGACAAGAGGAAGCAGGACACTTGCTTCGAGTTATCGCTTGTTGCACTCGATGAGTCAATGCGCCATCGGCTATAGATGGAGGAGGGGCGGGGTGATGTGTGGCAGGCAGGTGGGGGATTGTGTGGGAGCGCGGCGGGTAGGTTAGGGGAGGCGAGGGGGGGAGAGGGGGGGGGGGGAGAGGTGGGGGAGCGGAGGGTGGGGGACAGAAGGAGAGGAGGAAGAGGGAGGAGGAGGAGTGAGCAGGAGGGGGGGGGGGATGATGATGAGGTGGGGTAGAGGAGGATTATGAATGATGATGATGATGTGCATGAGGAAGATGACCAGTGATGATGAATGGATGGGGAGAGGAGTAAGGAGGGGGGATAAGGAGGGAGGTAGGCAGAGTGGAGGAAGGGGTAGTGGGAGAAGGAGGGACTAGGGAGAGAGGGAGAGAAAAGACAAAAAGGGGGAAGGAGGAAAGAGGATACTATTATGAAATCATGCTGCCGAATGATGATGATTAATGAATTAAGAAATAAAAAAATGACGGATGATGATAGGAGGATGGAAAAAGATGAATGCTGAATGATGACGGTGATGAAATACGAATGATGATGATGCTGATGATGATGATGATCCTCCTCCTCCCCTTACCAGTCTGCTCCTCCGCCTCTTCTCATCCTCCTACCTCGCCTTCTTCTCATCCTCCTTATCATCCTCCTCTCCGCATCCTCGTCCTCATCCTCTTCCCCCACCCTTCGGCCCCCCCCCCCTCCTCCTCCTCCTCCTCCTCCTCCTCCTCCTCCTCTCCTCCTCCTCTGAACCTCTGACTCTGACTCTGACTCTGACTCTTCCCCATCCCCTCCTCCCCTTCCTTCCCCCTCCTCCCCTCCTCCTCCTCCCTCCTCCTTTCCTCCCCTTCCTCCCTCCCCTATCCCCCTCCTCTTTCGTTCTCCTCCCTCTTTCCTCCTTTGTCCTCCTCCCTCCTCCTCCTCCTCCTCCTCCTCCTCCTCCTCCTCCTCCTCCTCCCCTCCGTAGCCATTTTGGCTCAAGGCTCATGCTTTTGCGGGCTGAGCCCGTATTGGCATTCACGGATACCGCTAGTCCGCGGCCGCGCCAGAGCGCTTGCGCTCGACAGCTTTTCGCCTACACCGAGGAGTTGGGCTCCCTCATCAGTTTTGCCGCCACGGCCAGGCTGCCCTCTGGCCGGTGGCACTCGCCGCCCGTCCTCACAGCTTTGGCGCCACGATGGCCCCGACGCGCAAGGACAACGCTTCGCCATGGTACTGCAAGTGGTGCAGGCACGACGTCACGAATCAACCGTGGTTCAATGCTTCCACCCTTGTCTACTGTAAGAAGTGCGGCCTGCACAGGGCAACTGTTTCAAGGAGAACAAAGTGGCGTCGCAGCCCAGTGTCTCGGCCAAGCAGCAGTCGCTCGCGGCCAAGGTCAAGGAGCTTGAGGCGCTGCTCACCAAGCTCCGCGAGCATCCCCCTGGGCATGGGCCAGCGGCTACGGGAACAACGGGCGCGAGCCCACCATGGGCTGCTGCGCCAGGGGATGCCGACACGGTCAAGCGGAACAGGACCAAGATGCTGGATCAGTTGCTGCGTGTCACTACTGACCCTGCTGATGCTGATACTGTGGCCAAATGGCGCGAAGAGCGGGCGAAGCTGGACGCCGAGCTCTTTCAAGACAGGCCCATCGAGCATCAGGCCAGGTCTTTGGCGCCAAGATTGTCTGCTGCCCGTTCGCGACAGGCTACCATTCAGGCCACCCGCGATGAGCAGCAGAAGAAGATTGACGAGCTCACTCGTGGCCTGGCCGACACGGACTCCAAGCTGCAAGAGGCCACTGCTGAGGTCCTCCGCCTGGAGCAGCAGACCCGCACCGCCATGTCGCGAGTCCAGCCGCCCGAGGGCACGCAGCCACCGTCGCTTGCGGACCTGTTGCCCTCTTTCGCGGTCAGTGTGGAGCAGCTGGGCAAGGTCGCAACAGGCCTCGGCCTCGGCGCCGACATGGTCAAGGAGCTGCAGGCCATGGCCGACACGGTCAGTAAGCTGCAGAACTTGCCCCAGGCCAAGCCGCCTGAACCTGCACCTGCTCCTGCTGGTGATGCTGAAGCTAGTGCTGAGCCACCTGACATTGAGATGTCTGAGGAGGATTGCCGTGCGACTTTGGGCGCAGCTGGCGCCCGCGTCGAGGAGAGCGACACCCCCGACATTGTGCGCGAGAAGTTCAAGCGTTTCCAGCAGAGCTACCTGGACACTGTGGCCAAGAAGGCCAAGACGTCCGCGTGAACGTGCTCGGCCTGGTATGCTGTTGCTTTGGCTCTTTGTCACCATGGCTAGCTCTACATCAGCGCAACATGTTGAGGGCGCGCCTTCGTCATCTTCGAAGGCGGCATGTACCTTGGGCAGGGAGGAGAGGGATTCAGCCCCTCATAGTCAGACCTCCCTGCCCACATCGGCTTCCAGTGCCATGACCTCGGCTGGGACTACGGCGCCCGCATTATTTCCCCCACTGGCCCGCTCTTCGGGGTGGGGGGGGGCAGCTCCGACCCTGACCGCGGCTCCGCCTACGTCGGTTGCGCCCGCAGCTGGGTCCTCGGCGTCTACGGCGTCACAGAGGGCTACTCCGCGTACGCCTACGCGGTTGGCCCCTGGCAGCACGCACTGCTCACCGACCTCACCTTCGGGGAGCGGCGGCAGAGGGCGCCGACCGTCTTCGGACGGCACGCACCGCTCACCGCCCTTGCCCACGGAGAATCCAGGCGGCAGAGGGTGCCGACTGCTAGGGGCGTCCTCGGGCCAGAGCGGCCCTGTGCGTACTACATTGGATGATGACTATGATTTCTTTCAGGACGTCGAGCCTGATATGGAGGAACCTGAAGCTGGTGCGCGTGCAGGCGCAGTTCAGGATGCGCCATCTTCGCCCCCACCTTTTTCCCGATGTAGCTTCGAGAAATCAGGTCAAGAACGGGCTGCGCTAACTTCGCCTTTGCCGCCAGAGCGCACGGAGGTAAAGGTGCAGCCAACGCATGCAGAATCTAAGCCGCAGCACAAAGGCCTCATCACAACGGTGAACACCACGAGCTACGGCCCTTTCTTTGACTTTTTGGCCACTTATCGTGGAACTATCTTGCTGGCTCAGGAGTTGAGAATTACCGAACCTAGGCTTGGCGAGTTTCAGGCCAGGGCCTTGGACGCTGGATGGCATGGACTATGGGCCCCGTCGCCCTCTACTGGTGACTCTGCTACGTCCAACTTCGGAGGGGTCGCGGTACTCGTGCCGACGTACATTATGGTCCCGGCCCCACCCGACGACGGGCACATTATCTACCCTGGACGAGCAGTTTGTGCCCAGATCAACTGGGGAGTTGCTGGTGGTATCATCGTCGCCAGCGTTTACCTTGTCACGCCCATTGACATCTCAGGCGAAAACATCGAGGTGCTGTGGGCCCTGGCCCAGAGAGTGGCAGCATGGAACTCTCGGGGCCTCGACTGGATTCTAGGCGGCGACTGGAACGCCGACATCGATGCGCTCAATGTTCGCAACTGGGTCGAGACCATGGCAGCCATCCACTATGTGCCCGACCAGCACACCTGCATCACTGACGAGGGCAAGAGCACCATAGGCTATTTTGTCGTCTGTGCCAACTTAGCGTCTCGCATCAAGGGCAAGCCCGAGGTCCAGTATGACTCCAAGGTCGTGCCGCCGCCGCACTTCCCTGTGGAGCTGCAGCTCATGGGAGAGGATCGCCCCACGTGGTGCCGTGTCCCTGTGGAGCCGCGCCCTTTTGCGGTGGTGCCGCCCGTCGGCTGCGCCAGGTATCCCTACCCGTGGCATATGATCCAGTCGGAGTTCCAGCAGGTCAGCAGTGTCGATGACCTGAGCTCGCTCTGGGACTCCGTGCTGCGCGGGGTGGGCTACGAGCTGGCAGGGCGATGCGACTGCGTAGGCGCCAAGGCCATGCAGTACATCGGACGCGAGGGGCCGCCGCAGTTCAAGTGGCAGCTCCTGTCATGGCAGCCGCCGCGCAGGCGTACCTACAAAGAGCCGTCCGTGCTGGCTTGGGCCACGGCGAGGCGCTGGGCCCAACGCCTTGTGGCCGAGAAGAAGCGGCTTGTGAGGTACATCGAGCGCCTCAAGTTGTGCGCCGCCATCTGCGCCATCACGCCGCTGCAGTGCACCGAGGTTGTCGTGGCCTTCAATGAGGTGGCTGCATTCTATGGGCGCGTGGCTCGGTCAGAGCAGGTGCTGTGTGTCCTGGACACTGCCTTCGCTGGTTTCTTTCGGCGGGGGCTGCCCGGCTTGGTCGAGGCTGACTTTGAGGAGGTAGCCAATGCCATCATTGCCAGAGCTGATTATCATCTGAGCACGGCGCAAAGAGCGTCGGAGAAGGCTTGGCGACAGTGGGCCAAGGAAGCCTTCTTGGGAGGAGCATCTCGAACGCATTCGTCCTCCAAAGTTCTTGCGCGACAGGAGGTGCTCGCCTACTCCCCCGACGCTCAGCCATATCAGATGGCGGACCGTACGCTCGACAAGTGGAGGGACGTCTGGACGTACCACGGTTCATGCCCTCTGCAGCTGCCTTCTGATCATGCTCAGTGGCCTCTGCTTCCGCCTTTGTCTGCATCGCAGGTGCGAGGAGCCATCAAAAACTTTCCACTGAAGACGGCCTCGGGCCAGACGAGGATCGCGCCACGCACGCTCGATGTGCTGTCCGACCAGGCCTTGCAGTGCCTGGCTGGCATGTTCATGCAGTTTGAGAGTTGGCTGGCCTGGCCTACTGACAGGCTCTACAGTGAGCTTGTTCGCTTGCCCAAGCCTGACGGGGACACTAGGTTGATCGTCCTCAGCAACACTTTCGTCAGGTTGTGGGGAAATCTTCGTCGGCCGCTTTCAGCGGAATGGCAAGAGGTTCGCAATTGTGAACATATGTGGGGGTCCAGGGCTGGGCAGACTTCGACCGATTCAGCCTTCGACCACAGCCTGAGCCAGGAGATAGGAGAACTCTTAGGTGAACACACCTGCACCATTCTCTTGGACATGACCAAGTGCTTCGATATGGTCAGTCACAGTGCACTTCTCCGAGAAGCCATAGAGCTCGGGTACCCGCTGAGGCTCCTGTGGTTGCTCCTGGGCTCCTACCGCCAGCCGAGAAGGATCAAGTGTTTTGGGTCCGTCTCCAGGCCCCTGGTGGCCCATCAGGGTATTCTTGCGGGCTGCACACACGCCACTTATCTTTTATATATCCTCACGTACCGAGCGGTCCAGCGCACGGCTAGTATTGCACCTACTATCACGCCACGCACGCTCATGGACGATGTGGGCCTGCAGTACGTGTCGCCCGTCTTGCGGGAGGTGTCCAACCTGGCCCGAGCGGCCAAGGCGTTCACTGCTGATGCTGGTGATCTTGGGATGGTCCTGAAGCCGCCGAAGTCTGGATGTATCCCTGGGTCCCAAAAGGTTTGGGGGCAGCTCAAGAGGCACTTGGGAACCTTGAAGATCCCGTACAGGGCCCATATGAGGAACTTGGGTCACGAGCTCACAGGACCTCGAGTTCTTCGGCGTACGGAGAAGCGTAGGCTGGTGCAGTTTCGTGAGCGCAAGCATCGTTTTCGCATGTTGAAGTCCGCCGTGGGGCGGAGTGCTACCAGCCTGTGGCGCACGGGCGCCCTTCCATCAGTGGCGCATGGCGGAGCAGTTGTTGGAGTTAGTGACAGCGCCCTTCGTGAGTTGCGACATTGTGCTGCTGTCCTAAATGGTGCTCCAGGTAAGACGTTGGTTGGGGTAACAGCGTACCTTATATCTCATCGGGATGAATGCTACGACCCCATATATAACGCCACCACGGACATTGTGCTCAAATATGCTTCCTGGATCTGGGATGGGCGTGTGCAACCTAGCAGACTTCGGGAGGCTTGGGTCAGCCTGGGCACTAAGTTTGGGAGTTCACCTTCCTGATCTAAAGCGCGAGGGCCCCTTGGGGCCACTTGGCTTACCTTGAGGCGTATCTCCTGGACTATGTCGTCTGGGCACATCCTGGTCGACGATTTGGGAAATAGTTTTGATTTATATCGTATGTGTCTAGCAGACCTGCGTGTGTTCCTGCATCAGGGCATCCAGCGCTGGCAGCACCATAGGTTGCAGCAGCATTTTTATACCGAGCAGGCGGATGTGTGGCATCGTGCGCTACGCCACTCGCTCGCCAAGATAAAGTGTCATCGGCGCCTCGGCGCGCTGCAGGCTCTGTGGGCAGACAATCTTCCCATCCCACCGCGTCGGGGCATGAAGCTCGGGAGGCCCATTGGGCCTTGTCAGGCCTGTGGCAAGGCTATCGACTCCTGTTGGGGTCATATCTTTTACGACTGCCCGCCGCTCCTCGAAGGGAACACCGACCAGGAATATTATGAGTTTCCAAAACAGCTTCAGGAGGTTCGAGACATGCTTCAGGCGTCTGGGCAGCAGCTGGGGTGCACCGACTGGGACCAGAGGTACCTGATCTATGGGGTTCCTGAGCCTGTGGCTGTGCCGCGCTACACTACGGTCTCCAATGAAGTTTTTGAGTGGGGAGATGTCTCAGGCTCCTGGGGGCCCACATCGTATACTGATGGGTCTGGGTTCTCGGCCAGTATTCCTGAAGTACGTAGGTGTGGTTGGTCGGTCTGCCAGTTGGACCCCGTCACGTGGCTCCCCGCAAGAGCTGTATATGGGCCCTTACCCTATTATGTGCAGACGGTAGGCCGTGCTGAGCGCTATGCCATCAAGATGGGACTTCAGAAGCACCCTGGGCATTAGGTTTTCATTTCTGATCTGAAATCGCTCGTTGATGAGGGCACGTCCTGGGATCAGAAGCTCGAATTTGGCAAAGCGAAGCACGCACGAGTCTGGAGAGACATTTGTTCTGCTGCCAGAGCACGTGATCCACGTCTGCCACCAGTGCAGTTTCAGTGGACTCCAGCGCACAGGAAGCTGGATGATATCATCGAGTGGGCCACGCCAGACGAGCTGGAGGCCTTCGTCGGCAATGCCTGGGCCGACTTCTTCGCGAAGTGTGGCAGTGCCGCACACATGGTGTCCAAAACGGTGGCCGAGAGTTTGGCCGCTGCGTTGAAGCAGCACAAGCAGGTCCTGCATTATGTGTCTTGGGCTGTCTCCCAGGTGGTTCAGTTTCGTAAGTGGGGAACGGATCCTATCGCGGAGCGGGGCCCCGAGCTCGCCCAGGTGCCCAAGCGTGTGGTCTTCGAGAGGCCCCAGGACCATGAGTTGCTGTTCTGCCAGAGGTTGTCGGAGTATAGGTGTCGCCGGTGCAATCGAGTCGCTCGAAGTGCGTGTACCCTCCATACTCTTCGCTCAGGGGCAGATCGATTTTGCGCTCCCACGCCGTTGGTCCAGAGCTTGGCCGACGACTTCTTCAGGCGGAGTTCTGAGGCGTGGGTTAGTAGTTCGGACTCTCGAGTCACGGCTGCCCTTGAGGCTGCCGATCGGATTTTGGGGTCCACGCCTGAGCCTCAGGAGCCCTCCTCGGCGGTGCTGGCGAGTGCTTCCAGTGGCTCTGCCGACGCTCCCCAATCAGTGCTTGCCGACTTCGCTGAATTGGGGCATGACGTTTTCTGTGTGAATTCCGTTTATTGCTGCCGTAAATGCGGGGGCAATTTCAAAGGGTCCGAGTCCTTCAGGTCAGCCCGCAAGCTGCGGGCTTTGTGCCTTGGGTTTTCAGAGAATCCTAAGACTCGGGCCAACCAGCGCACGGCGATTGACAGAATCGCCCGTGGCTTGGAGCCCCGCCAGAGAGGGGCAGGTGCGGCGCGTTCTGGCCCGACCCCGCCCCCTAGCGTAGCTCTTTGGGCCCTGGGAGGTTTTAGGGTGTGGTTTTCCTGAGGCGCCCCACCCTCTCCCAGGCTTTCGCCTTTTCCGCCACCCCTGTGGCTCTCAGGTCTCACACGCGGTTGGTGTTCGTCACTCGGACGCCTCTCCTGCGGCTCGCTGCCTCCTCCTCCTCCTCTTCCTCCTCCTCCTCCTCCTCCTCCTCCTCCTCCTCCTCCTCCTCCTCCTCCTCCTCCTCCCCCTCCTCCTCCTGAGCCCTCCCCCGCCCCCCCTTCACCCTCCTCCGCCTCCTCTTCCTCCTCGTCCTCCTCCTGCTCCTCCTCCTCCTCCTCCTCCTCCTCCTCCTCCTCCTCCTCCTCCTCATCATCATCATCATCATCACCACCAGCCGAATTAATGTATTGTATCAATCGGTGTGCCCATGCACGTTTAATATATGGTTCAACGTGCGTCGTCTGCTATATAGCACTCATGGGCTACTCTTACACAGAGCATTTGCGCCCCTGGGGTGTGTTACCCAAATAAATTGGAATTCAAGAGAAATTCCTCTTAAATGTTCAATTTGGAGGAATGTCAATTTTGTGCATGGCCATGTACTCGAATGCAGACACGATACCCGTGAGAGCTGATTGGGTGAGGAGGTTGAAGGAGGGCAGGCGTTCGAGGAGGAGAACGAGGAAGAGCCGGAGTAGGAAGAGGACCAGGAGGAGGAGAAGGATGAGGAGAAGGAGGAAAGGGGAGGAGGACGAGGAGGATGATGAGGAGGAGTAGAGAGAAGGAGAAGGATGACGAGGAGGAGGCCTGCGCGGGTCTTGGGCTGTGAGAGCCTCTTGCCACACTCTTGGGGCAATCTTGTGGTCGGCTTGGGGCCCTCCTCGGGGGCTCTCTTGGGACTGACTCGGGGCCCTCTTCGGGCCCTCCCCGTCGCCCCTTTTTACCTCCTTCGCCCTCCTGATGCCGCCCTCCGGGTGACCTCCGTGTCCTGCTGGCTGGCCCCGCTCCGTGCGGAGAGGTCAGCACCCAGAAAGGTCCCACGCATGGGGCCTTGCAGGTGCCGTCGCACACGAGCTCGCGCCCCGCCGCCTCGCCTTTCCTCCCGATCGGTCGGTCGTCAGAGGAGGTCAACAGGTACCGATGTACCGCTACCCGTGCCTCGTTTTCGCCTTTTTGGGCCTCCTTCGGGGAAGCGCAGGACTCGAGTAATTACGCCGGAACTCGGGTTTGCCGCCGGTTTTTGACGAGCGCGTCCCAGATTTGGGCGGTCCAGTTTTCGTAGGATGCTTGCAGTGGGAGCTCCCGTCACAATTCAGAATGGGTCGCGTCATTTTCATGATGGCCACGTTAGGCCGACCCGAGTCCTCCGAACCCGAGTCTTACGTCTTCCCGACTCCTGTGAGGCCCTCGTCGCCACCGCTGGATTCCCTTCGAAGTTCTGGTCAGAACGCGCAGGTCTGGGGAGCAGCGGTATCGGCACCTTTTGGCATCCCCAGGTCGGTCGGTCGATCAAGAGGTGTCAGATGGGATATCCGTAACGTGCGGCGGGCGGCTCGGTTGCCCAGGCGCGTGGTGTGCTTGCTCTCTGGCCGTGTCATCCCCGCCTTGGTGACGAGCGGCCAGGGCGCGAGAGCACGAGCCTGGCTGCTCCTCCTCCTCCTCCTCCTCCTTCTCCTCCTCCGCCTCCTCCGCCTCCTCCTCCTCCTCCTCCTCCTCCGCCTCCTCCTCCTCCTCCCTGCTCTCGGGCCCTGTGTCTGGCCCTCCGTGGCTCCTGCAGGTCGACGTCTTGGGCGCGATTGGGCTCCGTGCCCTGCGGGTCCGGGACCGTGGCGCGGGGGCGGCGGGGCGCACCACCTTGGGCCTGTCATTGTCATGACGGGCTCGGTTTCCACCACCACCACCATAGGTTGGAGGGGGAGGGGTCCTCTTTCTCCTCCTCCTCCTCCTCCTCTTCTTCGTCGTCCTCCTCCTCGTCCTCCTCCTTCCCCCCTCCAGCTATGGTGGTGGTGGTGGAAAACGCGCCCATCATGTCAGTAGTGGACTGCGGCGGCCCGTTGCCAGTGGGCGGCAGGCTTCTGTGGCCGCCTGGCCGCAGAGTCGGAGGGCGCACTTGGCCGGTGTTGGTTCCTGGGACGGCGTCGAAGACAAGGGACTGGGGGTGCAACATTGTTTCCCGCCCCATGAGTTCGACGTCGGCACATCTGGATTCGTGTGTGTGTGTGTCTGTGCCCGTATGGCTCAGAGCTCTATGGCGTGCTGCACTGAGACGATTCTCCGTTGTTCCTGGGTGAAGCCCGCCAGGACAAGCTTTTTGAGAAGCCCAGCGTTGTTCAGGATGTCGCGGTCAGGGTATAAGATCACCGCACTTCCCGAGAGGGAGAGAGATAGAGAGAGAGAGAGAGAAAGAGAGAACGAGAGGTAAAGAGACGGAGAGACATACATTTATAGAGAGATAGCGAGAAAGAGAGAGAGAGAGAGAGATATAGAGGGAGATAAGGAAAGAGAGAACACGAGAGACAGAGAGAGAGAGAGAGAGCGAGAAAGGGAGAGAGAGAGAGAGAGACATCTGTGTTTAGATGTCTCTATAATACCTGGGTTGGTCTTTACAGCGCCCTCCAGGAATACTTGAATGTATTGTTTTGGCTGCCTTATTGACGGACAGGGGGTCCCATAACCAGTGGAAAATCTGTACTCCTCCGCGGCACCCACCGCGTAACAACGACGACGACAACGATTGCGTTTACGATTACGCCTACGACCACGACACGACTACGGCTACGGCTACGGCTATGACTACGACTGCGAGTAGTAGATTGTGAACAACGCTTGCGGCGAAGAACGTGTCTATCTATCGATTGCAATCCTCGTACAAGCACGCTCAACATTCCTTTGTCGTGCAGGGTCGCCCAGAGATAATTTCGCGTGAAGAGAGAAGCCCCA